GATACGCCCAGAGTCACGGAACGGATTAAGTTCGTATCCCGAGGTACCACTGTACTGTATACGGTAATTTGAAACAAATACACCCTTTTCTCCCAACCTCTTGAAACATGATGGATTACCAAGTACTCAGAACAATTTATATCCTCAGATGAATAAGATCAGTGGAACGTTACCCTGAAGGCCCTGCATGATCACCACTTACATGTCTTCAGGGCTATCTGCTTCTCTACTGAAGGACGTACCAGGCTTATCTGTCACTCGTGCTTCTCCAGAGGAGAAAGACGCACAAGCTATATTCTTACTGTCCATGAACAAAGCTGAATTTTCCATAAGAGCTTCTGCAAAAACAATTAACAACTATCAGGAATGTAAAAGGTGGTCTAGCTAAAAATGCCTTAAAATCTTTATGGTTCTGCTTATGTCCATATGCAGTTTTTATTAGACGTTAATGTCTTCATTCCACTGAGGAAGAAGTTATACATAGGCTTTCTGTACCAGTTGTGAATAAATATACACTGTCATCTCTTAAGCTAATTAAAGGAGGTAAGTCATGTTTAATTATCAAAATATTAATTTGTGAAAGAGCTGGAATAGAAAAGATAATCCAAATATTTTACAAATTTCTTAGCGCAGGTGAAAATGCTCTAAGAAAATACTGAAGTTATTTTGAACCCTCTTATTTCAAAGTAATAATTCAACTAGTTGAAAATAAAAAAGACAAATGATAACAGACTCACAGATGTAACAAATGCATGGTTAAAACCTATAGATAAAGGAAAACAGTTACACACAAAAACTACTGATTAGGAGTCAAAACAGATTCATGACAGTGATATTTATAAAATTAAAAAAAAACAAAGGTTATAAATAAATAGCTCAAAATACTTTTTTTTATTTAATGAGAATGAAAATGTTAGTTTATTTACTAATTACTTTTTTGTATCCTGAATGGCAGAGACTGAATGACACAGGCCATCTTCAAATGGCATTACCAATAGCAACTGATTGGATGTTCATAAAAATGGTTTCTGTCAGATGAACTGGGAAAATTTCTATATATCAAGTCTAGGCAAACTATGGGTCACATGCAACATATAGCACTCCTAATATGTATACCCATTTGCCCTTCAAAAGCCCTAATAGCCCCCCCACAGAGGTCTGAAATGTTTGGTCCTGTTCACTAACATGACAGGAAATATCAATGGTCACACCCTCCAAGGCCTCCATGTAGGTCAGAAAAGAGAACGTACAGCTCTGAAACCAAAAACGTTTGCCAACTTCTCTTCTCTCTCTCTATAAACATTTAAGTATCTAAAACATTTGAAATGACAAATGCTTTAATGAAAAGCAAATTAGTTTAAACCCAAAAGCAAATAGTATATTGCACTTTTGTTAAAAAAAGTTGCTATGGTTGGTCGTTTTTTAAAATTTATGTGCCATCAAGTTGGTGTCAACTCTTAGCAACCAAGTAGACAGATTTTTTCCATGATGATCTGTCCCTAATCTGGTTTTTCAGGACTTCCAACAGTGCATTCATCGCCGCTGTAACTGAATCCATCCACCTCTTCTTCTCTTTCCTTCCACCTTTCCCAGCATTAGAGCCTCTTCCAGAGAGCTGGGTCTTGGCATAATGTGTCCAAAGAAGGATAATTTAAACCTGGTCATTTGTACCTCAAGTGAGGATTCTGGGTTGATTTGTTCAATGATCCATTGGTTTGTTTTCTTGGCTGTCTGTGGTATTCTCAGGAATCTTTTCCAGCACCAAAGTTCAAAAGCACCAATACTGCTTCTTCAGACTCCAACTTTTGTTCCTTAGAGTATCACAGGAATACCACTGCTTGCATTATTCTGATCTTTGAAGGTACAGGCACATCATGGCATCTGACTATTGCTGCTCTACCAAGTGATAGTCTGCAGCTTATTTCTTGACTGCTTGCTCCTTTAGTTGATGGTTGATCCTAAAAGGCAGAAACTATCCACCACTTCAATATCTTCACTGTCAGTTCTAAAGCTAGTTAACAGAAATGGTTTCAGAAAGGGATGGCTCTGTTCCATCTTGGATGGATTATTAAATAACCCATTTCCGTATCTGTGCTTCCTAAATAATTTTATTTATTTTTATTTTATTTATGATTTCAATTTCTTTGACTGCCCCACACATAATGATTCTGGATGGCTTACACAGATTTGAAAACCAACAGTACAGTCCATCATCCTGGCCCAGTGCCTATGCAAAGAGACAGTCTTTAAGTCTCTCTTGAAGAACACTAAGGTTGCGGCCATACAGAGCTCAGGGGGAATGCTTTCCTGAGGGCAGGTGTGATGACAGAGGAGGCACATTTCCTGCAAGATGATGTTGTTTAACATGATATTCCCTATCAGATCTTACTTGACATCACAACTGGAGATGGAGGTCCCAAAAAATAGAACATTTAATGCCGATGGAAAACTTTTCCCCTTCATACATCACTGTCATATAGTGAAGGGGCTCGTGCATCACAATGACGCACGCCAGGATGGGGGAAGACACTTTCAATGTCGTGTCTCCCATCTTTTCTTTTCCCTCTGATCTGACCCCTCTTTTTCTTTCCTCTAGAGCAGTGTTTCTCAACCTTGGCAACTTTTTAAGAGATGCGGACTTCAACTCCCAGAATTCCCCAGCCAGCGTGCATGCTGGTTGGGGAATTCTGGGAGTTGAAGTCTACACCCCTTAGAGTTACCCAGGTTGAGAAACACTGCTCTAGAAGTTCAAGGTAGCGTGCATAGCACTTCCTCCTCTAATGTCCCTTCCGCAACAAGGCAGGTTGGGCTGAGAGACTGGATTCCTCCATGCACCCACTCCCAAAATAGATTTGCTCGAGAGGGCAGGGAGAAAGACCACAGTCCACCTCCTTCAAATCAAGCAGCTCCAGAGAAAGAACAACCTGCTCAGCTGGAGAATACCATTCCTTCAATTTAACATCCAACGTTTATATCCCGGTTGTCCTCGCTCTCCTTTAACTTTTCCTCCACAACAGCCCCGCGAAGTAGGCCGAACGGGGAAAGCGTGATTGGCCTGGAGCCACTTTCCCTGACTGAATCCGGGTCTCTCCGCACCTTCCCACTAACGTGTGACCAAACACGTGCAGAACCTCATTCCCGCCGCGCCACTCAAATAACGCGATGCTCCGTCCCGGGAGGGGAGTTGCCTCCCGAAAGGGGCGGGGCTTCTCTACCAGCCAATCAGAAGGCTGTTTCTGAGGGAAGGGAAAGTGAGGCGAGCCCTTTATTCACCTGCTTTCTCTATCCTTGACCTCCCCCGGAGGGCCTATAATGCTTTCCTCCGCCAAAGGGGAGCTCCGCCTCGTCCCACCGCCAAACGACGGCCCTGACTTACCCCGAGAAGAGCTCCTCCACACACGCCACGGACAAGCCCCGCCCCCTCAGCGGTTATGCGGTAGCTTAGCAACTCCGACGTTCCGGGGGCCGAGCCAATCAGAGCTGCGGGTTGGGAGCAGTCAACGCCTGCAGGAAGGCGGGCTCTTTGTCTCTTTTGACTAATCAGCAGGTTATAGCTTCTAGGTCATAGGAAGACAGCTCCCAAAAGTTCCAGCAGGCGTGAGCAGCATTATGGAATTTTGGGAATTGTAGTACAAAACAGTCTGGATTACGTATATCCTTTATTGGTTTATCCTCATTATCACCAAGAACTTCAGGTTGGCGAAGGCCGGATCGAGAGCCCCATCCAGAAATTGTTGCTTACAAGCAAAGGGGAACGAAGGCACGTGTCTTTTATATGAAGCCACTTTTGGCTGGGGCAGACTTTCCCTTCTTTGTTTTTCAGAGGTGGGATAATTTTCAGTCAGAATAAAGAGCGCTAGGACACTAAAACTGCACACGCCTTAGTAAGGCCGCACCAGGACTCAACCGGTGGCAGATTCCTCAGCACGTGTGAAGCGATCCCCAGCGTTCCCCCCGTGATCAAGGTAGCTCCACCCCCAGCCGAGCGTTCCCATTTGCGCATGCGTATGGAGAGGCTTCTCTGTGATTGGGCGTCGCCTCAGCCAATGAGGCGGTGGCGGGAAGAGCCTGGCGGAAGTCTGGGCGAGTCGCCGGAGCGGAAGGGCGGGGGGGTCCGCTGGCGGCAGAATGAGCAGGTTCGGCGGGGTGATGCGGGAGTATCCGCGCCTCTCCATTGACCGCTTCGACCGGGAGAACCTGCGCGCCCGCGCGTACTTCCTCTCCCACTGCCATAAGGGTGAGCCGGTGGCGCTGGTCGGGAAAGATGCCGGTCGGGGTTGGACGGGAGACCAGCAGGAAATCCCAGCGCCGTTGCTGGGGCGCAAAAAGCAGCCCGAAGAAGGCAAGCCCGATGGGGTGTGCTGTCCATAGCGCGAAATAAGCAAATAAAAAAGGCTAGCAAGAAAACCGTTGGTATGAAATCACTTGAGAAGAAAAAAACTCAGCCTTTGAAGCAGAACATCTGCTCCTTATAGGGTCCTCTTTTGTCCTCTTGCCATGAAGTCTCCAGCAGTTGAGCTCAATTTGGAAGAGGCTTTTTCGTTATTTTTTAAATGAGAAATTTTTTTTTAAATGTTCATACAGTCTGGTAAAGACCCAGCAGAAGCTAATCCCTGCTTTTCAGACTGGTACTGATATCTTACAAGTGAGAAACTTGCTGAAGGCTATATTTAATGTGGCAAATTTCTAATGATTTATATATTTTTTTATTTTAATTTATCATCACGATTTTATTTATTTAGATCACATGAAAGGCCTGAGAGCCCCTCCTATGAAAAGACGACTGGCGTGTAGGTAAATAACTGTTTCTGTTAAAGTTTGCTAAAAGAACAGACTTAGTAATGTCCTGCAAGATCATCAAAGTGCATTCACTTCTATTTGAGCTTCTTTGAAAAGCATATTATTTTCTTTTACCTGTTTCTTTGACTTATCTTTTCTTCCTTATCTCTCTATGTATTTTTTTCTTTGCAAAAAAATCTTCCTCCAGAAGTTCCAGTATCACTTAGAGTTCATTGAAACATTGCATTTGACTGGGGTTGTTTAAACTTTAAAAGCAATGGATAGAAGGGAAGAATATTAAGTGAAATAAAAAGTAATCAGAGCAGATTCCTGCAGACCTGTTTGAAGAATAAATTTGTGGTCCTGAAATATATTTTTGATTAATTAAAAAAAAAACTCTTCATGGCAGAAGTTTGTAGAAGAGATTGGGAATATTTTAGTAAAGTCCTTAATTGTTTCAGTAGTATGGCAATATGCTTGGTACTAAAAGCATTTTATTTATTTGATGAAAATTAATCTGAAAACATTGTGGCTAAATGATGTAATGTATTGATGTATTATTAATGTATACAATTAATGTATTTCTAAAAATAAAATATACTCTCTGCATAGTATAGAATACATGCTCAATTATTTCAAAAATGGTTTTTTTTTACTAGAATCTTCCTGACTAGTAAATAAATTGTGATTTAAACCTTTAAGGTTAATCTCCCTGATCATTTAAATCAAATTTGTCCTGTTCGCAAATCACAGAGACTGAGTTCCCATGATACTTTAAGCCAAATCAAACAAGTCACATTAAGGTGTAGCTCAGACTATAAACATGGTCTAAGTGTAGTTTGAAAAGTCTGCAAGAAGCCTGAGATTTACTAAGGCTTATTTCGAATTCTGCAATGCAGAATTTGGCATATTTAGCAATTAGATGCAATTTTCAAATTTCTCATGCAGTTGTGGAGAACATTAGCTTTCATATCTTGGGGAAATAAATAGCTTGGATAAGGATTGACTAAGGTGTCGGAGAATACTTTAAGAAGTTCTCCTGGTTCAAGTCAAGGCTCTTCCTCATCTATGCAGTTCCTCTGAGTTGCCACAAACGGGAGATGGAGACATATCCCATTATTGTTCCCTGTGACTGATCTTTGGTAGCATGCTGCCCCCAACCCGTGATATAGTCCTTGATAGATCTATCCTCCCTGAATTTATCCAATCTCTTTTTAGAGCCATCCAAATTAGTGGTCATCACTACACCTTGTGTTAATGTTACGTTTTACTGTCTATAGAGTGGAAATGTTGAAAGGAAATTCCTGCAGGAAATGATATCTGGAATCCAAAATCCTATATTAGTAGGATTGTAAGTTTTAAATAACAGAATCTGTCATATTCCAAAGTGCTGAATGCTGTGGAGGGAAGGCTGTATTTTGGAACACTAATCCAAAGATTCTTGGGAAGTAGAATAAGCAGTTAAGTTCTTTAGCCTCTCTTCCCTGTAATTGCATTGAATATTTATATTTTTTTTTCTTCTGTCTTGCAAGCTTGAAAGTTCACCTGTATTGTTCACCTGTGACAAAGGAATTGCTACTGTCTAGTCCACGATACAAATTTTGGGAAAATCACATTGTGAGTTACCCATTTCTTGTATGTATTTAATGCCTATAAACACCACAATGGCAATAATAAACTCTAGTAATTAACAGTGTAGACCGAGATGTAAGAACAATAGTCTTAAAAGGTAGTTTTTGTCTTCTGGGTTTTTTTAGTTGAATTTTCTTAAATACAGCATTGAGAATTAGATGGCAAGGAACTCAAAGGCATGATTGGGAAAAGAGAATTTCAATTAAAAATTTAGGAGCAGAGCAAACAAAATGTTGGCTTTGCACCTTAATGGCATGGCCTCCGCACATCTGTGTTCTATCCTACATCATCCTGCTATAAAGATACACATACTGGGGTGCCATAAATATATCTCATTTCTCAGAATTTATCTGTCTGTATGGTTTAGGTTGCTCTGGAAGTTGAAACACCGACTCAGATTTCTCTCATTGAAGAAGCATCAGGCGAGGTACTCAATTGAAACTGAATGCTTTACCTTTTTGATCAAAATATTTGCCTATATTTAGTACTTTCTAACATGAACCCACCCTCAATTCTTGCAAACACAGTGGATTGTTGTTTCCGGAGGAGGTGGGCAGGGGTAGGGTTTTGTTTTGTTTGTAATTTCTTTTCTATGCACTCTGTTGAAAATCTTAAGGGCAAGAGAGGATGAAATTGCTTTTTTCCTTCTTATGGCTGTTTCAACCATTAGCAGAAGGGATCTAACAAAAACACACAATTCAGAAGTCACATTATTTTTGAGAAATTTGGAACATTTCTGATAAGATCAGAAGGGGATGTTTGGAAGGTTTTGACCTCAAATTGTTTTGGCCACCCCTGTTTCCAACAAATGGGTGAATAATCCTAAGTAGGTGACTTCTATTATCTTATCCGTGGCTAATAATTGGGGACCAGATTCTGGTATAAAAATAAAGGGCTTCCCATACTTTTTTCCACACCTTTGTTATCTAATTCATTTGAATCCCTTTTTTCGCCTTTCCCTCCCAGAAAGAAGATATAGAGGTAACGCTTCTGCCGGCCGGCCATTGTCCAGGATCGGTTATGTATGCATTTTCTTTTGCTATCAGATGCAGTGATGAAAATATGGAAATGTGTATATTTTGTTTTCTTTTGCCATAATTATTTTACATTTCATGAGGGTCTAAGTGTAATTAGCCTCACTCATTCACACTTTTATGCTTTCTTTCTCCTCTGATTCCTTTGTCAGACCCTGTTTAGGGGCATTAACACTTGATTATTGAAAGCAGCATGCTTACCTTGTATATTTCTATAAAATAACGTTTTGTAAAACGAATAAAATATACCCCTTTTTTCTACAGAAGTACATTAAATCAACATGGTACAAAATCAGGCAAAAGTACTTTTCCTAAAACATAAACCAAGCAAAATAAACTAGCAACCCCAGATCAGATTTGGAGGCTGTTTTGGCAGTTAAGGCTGGTTGGATAGGATTCTCATTAGAGAAGAGAGGGACTGGGGAAGGCCTTGGCATTACATCTGTGTTGCTTCTCTACACCGTTTCATTGCATCCAGTACGCCCAAGAACTGGGTTAGCCGAGCAAAAGCACTGGGACTGGTGAGCCTCTCCGCCCCGTTTCTGAAGGTGTCAGCCTGCTTGTTGCATAGCATTTCCCTTGCCAAGCCAAGTCTCCAGACTCAGCCGGCTCTGAATGGGCAAAGCTGAGCAGATGGAGTTAGGAAGAAGGAGCGCTCTGGCCATTGTTGCACTACTGAGTCATCCTGTCCGTGAGATGAGGGGCAAGATGATGGAGACAGTATTTCCAGTTGAAGATGGGAAGGGAAGCGAAGGGAAGATCTTCCATGTCTCAGCAAACCCCTTCCCCACCCCCTCCTTTACTTTGCTCTTGGGGTAGATCTCCAAGCTCTTTAGGATTGCCAGAGAGCAAGGGAAACTCAGCAAGGCAAGCAGTATTTGTGACATCCCGTCCTGTTGCAGTTGTAGACTAAACTGTTTTGTTTGAGTTGGGTTATGCCTGGGAAAATGCAAAAAAAAAACAACCCATTTTTTTCCTGGTAAGTTTCCCTTCTTTGGAGAAGCATGTGTGATGTGAGGAGAACTTTCAGCAAGCACATGAGATTTCAGGAGGCTGGAAATGGACCTATCTCAGGATGGCAGGCACTTCCTGGAATTTGATGAAGGATCTCTGCATGAGGTGAAATGGAGTTAGAGGGCGCTTTAGAGGTGGTCTGTTGTGTTCCTTGGAATGACCACGAAAGATGGTATTTGACAGTGGCATTTGTATTTCCACTAGAGGAGATGGATTAAAAACTTTCTCCCTCCCCCCAGTCTGGGACACAATTCTGTGTGAGTCATCTAGAGGACTCTGTTGTGCAACGGGAGCAAGGAGAATCTTCCTTTTCCTTTGTATGCAGCTTCCAAACAATAAAGCTGATCCCCTGCAACCTCCTGATGCCAGAGGAGTCAGTCAGCAGTGAATGGAATGGATATGAATCATATTCATATTCTATAATAGCATATAATAATAGGAATTAATATGAATAATGAATGAATATGTTCCCACCCAGGTTTCTCTTCCAAGGTGAAAATGGGACTGTGTTGTATACGGGGGATTTCAGGCTTGCAAGAGGAGAAGTGGCTCGAATGGAACTTTTGCATTCAGGAAGCAGGTGAGGCACGTTCTCAATCCTGGAGCACCCATAGTAGGCCTGTGAAGAAACTGCAGATATTGTCCCTACTTTGGGTATTTTGCAACATGCATGGTAGCAGTATTGATGAATGATCTCAGGTCCTTAGCATGTTGGAAAGTGAGGAACGTAGCAGGTGAAACTTGCTTGAGGATACTACTTCCCACCAATCCTATGATATGAGAAACCCAAAGCCCTTTACATACTCTTGTGTGATCTACCTCTGTGCTTTGGCTGCACTTGCTGTTGATTGATAGATTGATTGATTGGCAGAGGAGTTGGTGAGTTTTCAAAGCTGAGGGATCCATACCACTCCGTGCAAATACAGCCACAGTGTATAATAAGTGTGAGAGCCAGTTCTGGCAAGGTCAGAAGAAAAAACCTAAGACCTGATTAGTTTATTCCAATAACAAGGAACAAGGGGCAACTGTCCCTCCCTCCCGCAACCATGAGGTTTGCAACCTGTTGCCTCATGCAGGTGGGAGAAAGACGTGAGAGAATTGACAGTCAATTTTCCTATAAATAGGGTTTGCATTTTATAGTAGAATTCTTTCTTAATGGCTTTCCCAGTTCTTGCAATAAATTACTTATCAGAGATCTGTGTCCTTGAACCAAAGTGCTCATGGCTTTCAATTCTCAGCTGAGAGAAGCTTGAAAGTGAATGTCCTGCTTTTCCTTGCTAGGAAATCAAATTATTTTGTAAAAGCAAATGGAGTGTATTTTTGACATGAGCTTAAGGATTAACATGCAGCTGACATAATTATGCCAAGATGCAATATCAATACTGCCATTCTCTTTTCAGAGTGAAAGATATCCAGAGTGTCTATTTAGACACCACATTCTATGATCCCAAATTTTATCAAATACCAAGCCGGGTAAGTAACATGAAAAGGTAAAATCATGTAGTTCTATGCTAACGTGTATATAATATGCAAATGAATCCATTCTACCAACTAATAATGCAGATGAAAGTAGGTGTACCTTGAAGCATGAATGTACGAACCTTATGAAATAAATAACATGGACACATTTTGCTCTAGCCATCGGGGATCACAGTAAAGTTTTATCTGTCTTCCTATTTATGGTGTAGTTTTGCTTGGCAAGCTGCTAATTCTGAGAATTCCACTTGAAACTCCTGGCAATTTGTACATTCAGTTTCATCTACAAAAATTAATGATTTGGGCAGCCATATAGCCAATTAAGAGCTTCTCTCCAATGTAACATAATTAATTCAGGCTTATCCTGTGTTAGATTGCCAAGTATTCCAAGTAAGAAGTCTCTGAGTTACGATTATAGTTTAATTTTGCTTTATTCTAGATGGTGTATTCTGCATTCTGTTCACAAATCTTATTTCGTATTAATCACTTGGAAATCTCCCAGGTTGTTTTTGCCTGCCCCTACTTTAAAGAAAGCTTTTACTGTCATCTAGTCTTCAAGCTGATTTCAAAGGAGATTTTATTTATGTTTGTGTTGAAGGGATTTCATATTAGAGAAATAGGCATGTGGTGCTGATCTGCTTTAATGCAATGAAAAAAATATAAGAGACTGGACCAAAGGCAGAAAGAGGGAAAAAACAGACAAAGACAGATCCACACAGGCCAACACAGCCTGTACAAACCCCTCCTCCAAGTCTGCTTTGATCTCAAAGTGTTACTTATTTCAGAACTTCATCCACTACCCTTTTTATCTTGTTTAACTGAGCACATCTGCCATTTTCCTTGAAAGTTGAAAACAAATCTTAGCAGGGTCTGTTCCAAATACTCAGTGCCATAAATTAAGAGATCTACTCTGGCTGAGACTGAATTCAACAACGATTCAACCCAAGTGTGTAGTATCATCACATTTAAGTTAAAATCATCATATGTACTCTTTTCCATATTAGGAAGAATGTATGAAGGGGATAATGGAATTAGTGCGAAGCTGGGTGGTTCAAAGTCCCTATCATGTGGTATGGTTGAACTGCAAAGCAGCTTATGGATATGAGTATTTATTCACAAATCTCAGTGAAGAGCTTGGAATCAAGGTAAGACTGCATTCCTATGAAATTCTTTTCTGAACAGATGCAGTTAAAAATACTAGATTAGGAAAGGTCTGTTCTGTGGACTTGACAGTTCTTCAGGCTTCAGCTGCCAATTAGGTCCCATCATTCAGACAATCTATTTCAGGATGTGGGACTGGAAAGAGACTCTGGAGGCAGAAACAGTTAGCTCAGGTAGGGGAAAATGAGCCACAAGAGACCACCAAGACCATCATTTCCTCTGGATCTTCCTTTCCCCCAACTGGCAATGCAATTAATTCCTTAGATCAGTGTTTTTCAACCCTGGCCACTTTAAGATGTGTGGACTTCAACTCCTGACTGGGGAATTCTGGGAGTTGAAGTCCACATGTCTTAAAGCGGCCAAGGTTGAGAAACCCTGTCCTGGATGGTCAGTCAGAGGCAGTCTTGAAACTCACAAGTAGAATATGAACACAGCAGTCTTACTCAATGGTTTCTTAGCATTTGCTTTTTAAGGCCTACTTCCTCTCTTCCTGTGTGTTTTCCTCCTCAAGTGTTTTCCTCCTCATTTCCACCTATTCAAGGTGGCAATATTTTTCTTGGCGTGAATGTGTCAGCGCAGGCTTTGCCTTGCAAGGATGAAGCCCTTAGCTTACAGAACTGGCCTGTGTCACGCCTGGCGAAGGCAGTGATGCTGTTGTTTTCTGACTCAGTGGGACGAGACAAAGTTACGGCTGGTTCAGTAACCTGGCTTAGAGTTCTCTGTGACTCCAGCAATGAAGAGGTAGAGCCAGGGGATGTTTTGCAGGGAGAGGCAGGAGGCACAACTTCATTCTCTTCCAGGATTTTGCTGAAAAGTGAATGTGAAATTTATGGCTTTTGTCTCTTTTCTGAGTTGCCTAAAATAACTTTGGTAATACTGACTTATTGGCCTAGGTGCATGTGAACAAGTTGGACATGTTTAAAAACATGCCAGAAATCCTCTACCATGTTACCACAAATCAGCACACCCAGATTCACGCATGTCGCCACCCAAGGGTATGTATCTTCTTTACAAAGAATGCGGGTTGTCTTCCTGTTGTTTTACTAAAGTGGTTCCTCTGGTTGAACGTGTGCTAAATGTGCTAAAGGAAGATGCAACGAAAACCATGCAGTGTAGAATCATTGACAATAGCTATTAGGCTGTTACTATATGAATAATACCTTCCTGAATTAATAGATGGAAGGCTTAGACCTTTATAGGAAAGAGCTTTCACTAAGCGGATGCCAGGACCAGGAAAAAACTGCTCTGAATTTCATCTGATCATACTGCTAAAGAAGAGGGTGGCTGGTCTTGAAACATTGACCAAGTTTAGACCTGGTTAGTACTTGGAGGAGAGACCATCAGAAAACCCCAGGGCTATAGGCTATACTCAGTTTGGTGTAGTGGTTAAGGCACCAGGCTTGAAACAGGCTAGCATCTAGCCAACCTTGGCTAATCCTGAAGAAGCTAAGCAGGATCAGACCTGGTTAGGACTTTGATGGCAGAGCAGCAGGAAATTCCAGAATAGGGAGTCTAGAAGCAATCAAAAATCCCAGAGGAAGGAAGGAGAAGCTGAACTCACAAGTTGATTTATTTATAGACAGCCAATGTTTGTACTAGACAATTCAAGGTTAAAAACGCCTTTGTTGCAATGAAAGAACTACATACAGGTAATCCTCGTTTAGCAACCACAATTGTGACCGGCAACTCGGTCATTAAGGGAAGCAGTTGCTAAGTGAAACCATGATGGTGCTTATGATCTTACTTCAGTTTTCCTTTGCTTTATAGACCTGTGAAGGTCGTAAATGTGAGGATTGGTTACAAAGTTACTTTTATATCGTTGTCATTTCTGCGAACAGTTATTAAAATAAAGCCAATATGTATGATCTGACAGGATGCTATCTGTCCATTAGGATGATGAATTGTTCCGAGGGAACAAACTGCCTTGTGGAATTACTTCCCAGAATGGACATCAGTTTCATGTTATTAGTGTCAAGCCATCCACCATGTGGTTTGGAGAAAGGACACGGAAAACCAGTGTAATTATGAGGTAAAGAAAGGATACATTTTACTTTTCTAAAATCAGCATTTTATCTCTATTTCTGCCTCACTTACTCTTTTCATAGCTTGCTCCCACAACTTAGAAACATTCATTTGGCACTTCTTTTAATGCATACATTAATTAAGGTCTAGTTGAGATGATTTGGTCTTATTATTTCCTTCAGTACTCTGGGATGCAGTTCAGGTGGTCCTAGAGATTGAAACTGATTCAAAGTAAAAAGATCTTTTGTGTTTATGTTTCTTCTTTCATCCTGCCCTTCACAATATAGACATAGATTTTTGCTTGCTTATTTTTTATTTGTGGAGAAGACAGAATGTAAAAGGGGATTTTTGAAGCCATCACTTATATGAGCGTTAATGTCTAGGAGCTTTATAGAATACTAACCATAAAAATTGCCTTAATTAAGCAGAGTTTAGTCAAAAGATTAAAAAGATTCCAAGTGCGAGCAAGTGATGGATATTTTGTGTGGTTTGTCCTCAGCATCTTCTTGTTAGAAGTGCAGGATCCCTGAACATGTATAGGGTTAAGCCTGTGAAAGACAGTTTTTCATCCAGAACCAAGTCCCTTTCACTTGTGAATGTCATAGATTGACTAAGATTCCTTCAGGAGATTGAGGTTTTAGAAGAACCATCCTTAGCTTTGTGGCTCCCAGATGTGTTCGACTATCATGGGTCTTCAGAGGACACCATATTCCTTCAGAAGGACATTAGGTTCAGGAAGATTGCTGTAAAGAACATTTTCTTATTCCTTACACCAGATTTGTACTCATGATGTATAGCTTTTGTTTTTAAGCTGATGATGATCTTGTTTTGATCGACAGCAGAGGAAATGAATTTAATTTATGGTTTGTGTTTAGGACTGGAATGAGTTCCTACAGGGCTTGCTTTTCATTTCACTCTTCTTATAGCGAGGTATGTAGTTCCAATTTGTTTTGTTAGATTATGTTTATATACTTTTGTACAACATACAAAACAATCACTGTTGGCACAGATGTGAATACTTCTTTTAGATTTTTGGCCTGGTAGTTCGTAGAGGCTTTGAGATGGAAAGATTTTGGTAATAGATCTTGACGTATTCAAAGCAGTTCATACCTGCTGTGAAAGGAGCCATCTTTAATTCCACATTGCCACTGACAGAGCAAGGCAGGTCTGTTTTGGACAATTGGTTTTATATATGATAACTGCAGTGAGGTTATTATATGCACAAATATGGAAGACTACAGAAACATCAATAATGGAGGAATGGATTGTGCAGATGGCTGACTTTGCAGAAATGGCTAAATTGACTTGTTTGATTAAGGAAGGAACTACAATTACTTTTATAAAGACTGGAAACCCTTTGTAGAATTTTTGCTCAAAATGGATGAGAATGAACTGCTGATTTTGGGATTTATTGATTAAAAAGGTTTGTTTATGGGAAGAAGGGAAC